GCTCTGCCACTGAGCTATACCCTCCCCTGCCCCAGTCAATAAATGTTTTTAAATTTTTAAAATAATAATATAAGGAAGGATAAGTAGAGATTACATCGTATCATAACTCTATTCTTTATAGAAGTCTTTGGTGTACCTAGTATTTAAAACCAGAATTTAATTCTTATTTAATTCCATTTAGGACATGGCTCTTGTTCATCCACTCACATCCGCTGAAGTTGGCCTCTGCGTGACAGTAGGAGAGCCTAATAGCTGACAGAGCTGGGAAATTATTCTCCCTATGCTACTGTGTTACACTTTACAATTTTAACATTAACATTTTAAATGCTATTAAAACAATAATTTAAATTTTGGCATAAAAATTTAGGTTTATTCGTGTATCCTTAGAAGTTTATTTTTTGCTAGTAATATTTGTGAGCAAGCTTGGCTTCACAAATTTAAATTCTTAGCCCTTTGGCATTGGGCTGAAATGTGTATTTAGTGCACCTCCAGTGGAGGCACAATAGGGTATGGAAATCTGAGGGTCAGCAAAATGAATCCCAGCTGATGGCATTAGGGAAGTTTGAGTGAGAAACAGGCATTTGAGACGAACAGTGAATCATGAGGAAGCTTCTAACAAGCAGAAGTGGGGTGATAGGAAAGGATATTTCAAGCTAAAGTGCTTGCTTGAATCCCTTCTATAAAATTGTATGCCCCAGCTATGGTGTTTGTCTTCTCTGATTCCTACCTCCCACTGCTTTAACCAACTCAAAGCTCCCAGGAATGAAATCTTTAACTTGTAGTTAAAACTTCATGTCTTTAGCTTAAGTTTTCTCAGCTGTCTTAATAAAATACATTAAAAATGAGACAAATTAATTTATTTGCAAAACAGAAACAGACTCACAGACAGAAAACAAACTTATGGTTACCAGGGGGAAATGGTGCGGGCAGGGATAAATTGGGAGTTTGGGATTTGTGGATACTAACTACTATATATAAAACAGATAAGCAACAAGGTCTTACTGTATAGCACAGGGAACTATATTCAATATCTTGTAATAGCCTATAATGGAAAAGAATATGAAGAGGAAAATATATATGTATAATTGAATCACTACCAACTATACTTCAATAAAAATTTTTAATACATTAAAAACTACTTAAGTATATCAGGGAAACTATTTCCTAAAGGAATCCTTTGATAATAAGAAAATTGCTGCAGGCATTAATTTGAAAATGATGATTCAGTGTGACATGCTTTATGAGTTACTCTGGATGGAAGTTTAAAGATAACATTAATTAGGGCTCATAATACATTCAGTAAAGTTACTGTGTCGTTTTATCAATCACTTTCCCTCTAACCAAATCCTGAAAATTAGCAGGAAGCATACTCTGTTCCTTATTTCAAATATTTTACCTAACAGTCGATTTCTTCTCTCTTGTATGTTAAACAAACTATTTTCCATTACTTGGAGTGGGACTGAATGCGTGTGTGGAGGGGTGCCACACCACTTCTATTTCGGATGATCGCCTTTCACGGAGTAGGCAGTACAATGGTCAGCTTGGCTGGGCCAGTCTCTAGTCACGAACAAACCTAAATCTCAGTCTACTTCCTGCTCACATTACATGTTAGCACCTGTGTTTGGCCGAGGCTCTGATTCCATTTCTCCTTCTAAGACCCAGGCAGAAGGACCAGAGACTCTGTTTGGGACATGACTTTCTCTCTTGGTCGAAGGAAAGAGTAAGCACACGAGTGAGAAATGACACCCTTAAAGCCTCCACTCAAAGCTGCCGTGTTGTCACTTCCACTCACATTTTATTGGCCAAAGCAAATACTTGTAAGCTTTGCGATTACAGTATGACAACACTTGTGTGAAGAAAGAAGGAAAAGAAGCCTAAAAATGCCTACAGGGAGGCACTGCAAGTCACATAACAGTGGGTAGGGCTGTCTTTTCCTCTACAGGAGAGCACATATTTGGGGACAATATTCCAGTCCACTACAGGCATTTAGTGGATTAACATTTTCACTTATTTACATACATATAATTTTCTGATTTTGCCTTTTTTTCTCTTCCAGAATTGTGTTCTTCTAACCATAAGCTAATAAAGGCAACCTATAAAGGATAGTGCTTTTAAAAGAGAGCTCTGTGTCCATTTCAGGTTGAGTTTCACTAGATTTTGTCCTGTCACAGCTGGCATTTATATCCACATCAGGACACTGACTGATATAACATGAACCCTGTGGTTCTGTGTCTCAAAATGAGTGCAGGAGGGGGAGGGAAGGATCCAATATTCATTTATTTACAAATATTTATTTAATACCTACTGTATGTCAGGCACTGTGGAGATGCTAGGGAGAGAGGGGTAAACAGTGCAAACTCCTTGAGCTCACGTTAGGTAAATAAGCAAGATGTTCGGTCACTACTGAGCCCTACAGGTGCTTCATAGCACTACAAGTGCTAGGAAGACTAAGGAAAGAGAAGAAAGACAGGGTAAGATGATCAGAGAAGGCCTTTTCAGAGGTGACATTTGAACAGACCCTTCATAAAAATGAGGACAAGAGCTATGATTCTTTGGGAGGAAAGACTTCCATGTAGTGGAAAGATCTTGAAGTGAGAATATACTTGGCAGGACTGAGAAACCTCAGGGAGACTATTGTAACTAAAGCAGAGAGAGAGGATGTGTGGTAGAAAAAAATATTGATATAAGGACTCGTAGGGTGGTAGTTTTGAATTGTATTGGAATGTGATGGGAAGCCATCAGTGGTTTGGAGCAGGAGGGTGACATGATCTGATTTGTTTTAAAAAATCATCCTGGGTGCTGGTATAGAGAATAGATGTAGTTAGAGAAAGGAAGCAATGAGGAGGATTCTTTTTTTTTTTTAAGTTTTATCCAATACTAGGTTGTTACTCTTAACACTTCTGGTTCCATATGTGGTATTTAATGTACATGTGTTTAAGAGATTCATATTTATAAGTCTTGTGATTGCAATATGATAACATTTGTCTGAAGAAAGGGAAAGAATCCATTATCAAATCACTTTATTTTCAAAAAAGGAACTAGAATAAGGTAAAGGCATTTGTTAGGACAAACTTAAAATGAAGAGCTAAAAAAAAAGAAAATGCATTTAATGTATACCTAATGCCTTATATTGGAAGATCAAGGAGGAAACGTGTAATAGTTTAAATCAGTCAGACATTGAATTTAAAAGCCCTCTCTGCCTAAAGAACAAAGCAGAAGAAGCCACAATCCTGCAAAAGAAAGTCCATCTTAAAATAAACCATACCTGGGTAGCCATGGTTCTCTGCTTTGCTTTTTCAGGAAATCTGTTTTGTCAGTTTCCCCAGGAGTGATGTCCCAGAGGTATAGCAGGAGATCACAAGAGACTGTTGGTTAGCCACAATACTTATACATTAACTTATAATGAAATACAGAACTATCAAATAAATCCAGATAGTCAGCTCATTGCGTCAGAGAACCATCTCCCTGGACTGTCAGAGAATTTTTTTTAATGCACCTTGAATTTGGTCACAGATTATCTTACTTTAAAGAATTTGATGAGATTTAGGAGACACATCAGTCTGACCAACAGTGGGAAGCATGCTAGAATTTGAGTCAGGCTACCTGTACTTCATTTCTGGATCTCCGATCATTGGTTGCATGATATTGTGCCGATTACTTAACTTTCCTGAGTCTTAGTTTTCTCATCTGTAGAAGTGAAGCATACTAATGTATTCTTTGTAGGGTTATTTATAGAGGATTGGATTAGAGATTATAAATGGAGTGCTGGCACAGTTCTTGGTGTGGGTGAAGTATTCAATAAATATTAGTTGAACCTGAATTCTGCATTCTGAATTCTGTAGGTAATTGCTTTCAGCTGTTATCTCCAAGAGTATCTGAGAAATTGATTCACACTAAGATGCTATAAAAAATAAGATACAAGCACAGATTTAATGTTAACTGTCTTCTAAGAGTATTTGCATTTAGGAGGTGTTCCCCCCCCCAAAAAAAACCCTCCAAATCATCAGTGATCTTTATTGCTGGAATTAGTGGATGCTAATTGCATGAAATTCCAGGATATTTACCTAGGTTGCTCCCTCCTCTGAGGGGAAGAAGTAAATGCCATTAGAGTCTTAACCATTAGTCGGCTCCCACACTGGGTGTAGCTGGAATGTATCTTAAGCAGGCACTTCAGTCCTATCTGGCTGTGTCTTTGAGAAGGTATATCAAAGCTGAGCATTACTTCGGGGAATGCTTCATTCCTGAAGAACAGGCCAGGAAAATTATCGGAGAGTGATTTAATGAACGGGAGTACATCGCTGTTTCCTCTCCTCAGAGCCCTGGACAAAAGGCAGCCATTTCATAGGCCACCCTAGGACCGTCCCCTCAGGTATTCCCGCTGTCCTTGTCTTCGCCCCCAGAGCACTCATCTGCCCCAGCTCCCCCTTTTCAGCAGCGCTTCTATTTTTTTCTCGCAGCTCCACCGCCTGGTGTACAGCTTTTAGCTGGAATGCGAGGATGGGGTGGGGGTGGAAACCGCCGGGTAACACAGGGACGACGGCTGTGACATCAACCCTGGTTGCAAAACCAAGGAGATCACTAGGGTCACTACACCCGTGAGGTGACGTGACATCCTCCTGATTTATTTCCCTCTTGTGCCTTGGCCTTTATTTGTTTCCTTTGCTATCAGTTTTTTTAATGACAAGTTTAAAGGGTTCGGTGTCATGTCCTCACATTAGCAATCAAGGGTACAAGTCCTGCCATCTGTGCTTCGTGACTGAAAAGTCAAAGTAAAGAGGAAATCTACAGTAAGGAGCCTCCAGCTGCTGTTTATAGCTCCCAAAGGGTCGAAGGTAGATACTTCCACGAGTCAAGAGTGTTTTCTCAGGCTGCAGAAAGGCTTGGTATCCGCAGCCGCTTCCAACCTGCAGATGGAAAGGACCAGGGTCTGCGCCCAGCCGCGCCCTCCTCGCTGAAACTACGACTCCCAGGATGCTCGCGCGGTCTGAGAGTGCGCACGCGCGTCGCTGACGGAGTGGGAACCAGCGCCGTGGAGTTGGGGGAGCCGCTGGCGGGTGGATCCGACAACTCCCTGAGAGGCGCACGCAGGCAGACGGGCGGGTACTGGGAACCGAGCGGCAGGCCGTCCCCGCGGGTCTCTGAAGGAGGTCGCTGGCCCCAGCGGGCGTCAGTCAGGTAAGCCCAGCCCGGTGCTTTCCAGGAAGTCCGTCTGCGGGCGCGGGCTCGGAGTCGCACCGGCCATGGTGGCTGAGGAGGGAGAGGTTGCTGCCTTCCAGCCGCCCGGCTCCGACCTCCTTCAGTCCCTCTCTGGGAGCGAGGGGAGGCTGGGGGCTGCTTCGGGGCGGACCCGCCCGGGTAGGAGCCGTGGGACGCGCTGGGCGTCGCCCGCGGTGGAGGCGCGCGAACCCCGAGTTGCTGATGAATCACTCGGGGGCCCGGCCTCGCGGGTTCGGGAC